TTCTATTTAAAAAATTTAATACTGTTGCTTCACAAATTCCAAATAAAGTTGAAATTGTCCAAAGAGAAGATTTTGTATCTAATTGATTTAATGCAACAGCAAGTTGTAGTTCGACATTTGTTTGAAAATTATTTGAATTAGAATAAAATACTGGATGATATTGAATTTTTTCAACTAGAGTCCAAAAAGTTTTTTTATCCATTCTAAGTGTTTTTCTAAATTCAGTTTCGTTATAATTAAATAAACAATCTTGAACCCAATCATTAGATTATTACGAACAGTTTCTGTATTAATTTCTCTATTTAATAAAATTTGATCTTCTAAATCTAAATCTATTTCATCATCACTTGATTCAGTTTCTTTAATAAGTTCAATTACTTTTAAACATTGTTCTTTATATAAATTCGAAGACATCTTAAAAAAAATATAATAAAAATAAAATATTAATTTAATAAAAGATTGGTAAAAGTTTTTTAAAAAATTTTATTTAAGAGTATATTTATAAGTGTTGCCAAGAATAAAAAATGATTCATTAATCTAAGTAAATTGCTAATTTATTATCAAGTTTAATAATAATACAAATCGGGCTTTAAATTATAAAAATAGTACATTAAATTTTTATTTTAAGGCATTTTATATTAACATTATTGAAAACCCAATCTATTAATTAGTAATATAATTAAAATACTAAGGTGTCTTTTTTCTTTGGCAGTACGTAATATTTACAAAATAATTAAAATTACAAGACACAAATAGGTATTATTTCAAAGCTAGTCTATTTTTAAAAACTATAATTTTAATTTATTATGCTATTATTCTGATTGTGAAAAAACAATTACTATATTTATCTTGAATGATAAATATTAAAATGCGCAATGTAATTAAATTTATTTTTAAAAAACGCCAGTAGAAATTTAGAACTTGCATAATTATCTACTTTGTTGTCACATTATAAGACACAATATGGTATTCAACTTGCTATAATTTTACAAAGAGTCATAAAGTCATTGTAAAAAATATCTTACAAATCCTCAATTAGCCAGTTAATAAAAACTTTTACGTAAAATGTAATACATTAAATTCCAATATATTTAATAGGCTTACATCGGCAATTTTATAAGATATATAGTCTGACAAATCAATGAATTCTAATAATTCTAACTTGTCCACCTTATCTTCTACCGGCATTCAAATAGATAGTATGAATCTACCACTCGCTCTCCTCCAACATGTAAAACTGAAACCCAGCTCTTCTGAAAGATCGTCTGAAATATGGTCTCGAGTTTCTGCTCCCAAGACGTCCAGTGTGACTCATTTTCTGTTCAGTTCATACTCAACAAAGCCTGTCAATAAGCACGATGAATCCAGCATTTCAACAACCTATGGGTAATTATAGTCAACCTCAACATTCTGTAAATTTCAGTAATACAATGCCATCTATTGGGCCTTGAAACTTATATAACAGTTTCAATTACTCTTTCTTCGAGTTCATATTAGCAGATTAGCAGAATTGGGTTTATATGGTTTGTAAAATGCATCCTAAATGTTAGTGACCAAAAGAAATATAATTGTTATTTAATAAGCTTTTTATAATTTAAGGGGTAATTAACAATAACTATACAAAACCTTTGTATCATTATTGTTAATTAAAATATTTTTATATACAATATAAATCTAATGCTGTAAATCCGCTAATATATAGAAAACAACGTGTATATTTATTATTACATTAAAAAAGAATACAGCATAATTTAATATTCAAACATCCAAGTATAAATAACCATACCTTACTTCAGCAACCAACACATTATTATTCTGTGATATACCAACAACCATTGCAGCAAGAAGCTGCTGCACATACAAAATCATCAATTCCAATTATGAACGGTTGATATAATAATATGAAATAATTTTATACAAGGTTGAATAATCAATTATATAATTCTTCCTAAATAAAATAAAACGATAAATAATCAAACTTAAATTAACTATTAAGATTTTATATAAGTTTAATCTTAATCTACCATTATATCGTAGTAGCAATCCTTGCACAGTACCGCCTTCTTGTTTTAAAGTTTCAGCATAACCCAAAACGCTATTAAAGATAACAAACCAACCTATTATACAACCAAATAAGAAGATAATTGTTAATTTTACAATAAAGAAGTGTAAATTACAACGTAAATTTAATTTTCATTATTAATTGATAACAAATCATCATACCTTGCTTCTTACTATATTTCGTTTAATAAATAATCCAATTAATCCAATTATGATCCTTATTAGGATTCTACACCAAATTGTAGCAAAAATAAGATAATAGCGTTCATAAATAGTTCAACTTCTTCCAACATTATTAGGATAACATTTTCTTGAGGTTTCCAAATTGCACCTTTGCATAAATCAAGTAGTTCAAAATTGGATACTAATACTGTGATTAATATATGACTCATAGATTACTTTTTTTCTTTCTCTGCAAAAAAGTATGCTAGTATTAATAGAAAATACTCCAGTCATAATATTGCTCAAAGCGTATCACTCAGGTATATGATTCTTATATAACGTTTAATTATTTCCTATAAAAATTGAATTAATTGGTAGCCAACGAATCCAAAACTTCACTTTTTAAATAAGAACAAAGACCTGAGTTTCCCTTATTTTGATAAATTTAACTCACGATCTTAAAATTAATTTGATCTAATTAAATTCCTTTACATAACAATTATCTTTTGCCGTGGATATTAAATGCTGCTATAACAATATAATTGTTAGAATGCAGGAAATAAATTTTGTACAGTAATCACTATTTACAAAGGATAATTCTATGATGCATACCGTAAGTTATCAGCAAAGTTTATTAGTTCCGCGCTATTGTAATCTTCAATTGATATTGAACATTGAAGTTAAACTTGAC